TACTTCTGCTTACCTCTGCCCCTCCTTCACCCTCCGTCCTGGTCTGAAGCATTGCACATCCTCAGGGTAGGCTGGATTTGGGAAGCACAGGGGGACGCTGGCATTGATGGGCCATGAGGGGTGTTGAGGGATTGTGACTCTCCCTCCAGGACCTCATGCCTTTGGTTGTACAGACCAAGCCTTGCACTCACTTTTTTTCCAGTGGGTTTTGATGGCCCAGGCTTTGCAGTGCAGCCTCATGCTTTGGACTGAACGGCATCCCCTCAAAATGCACATGTGGGTGCCCCAACCCACAATGTAACTGTAGGTAAGGCCTTTCTGGAGATAATTAGGGTTAAATGAGGTCATGGGGTAAGGTCCTGATCCAACAGGGCTAGAAGTCTCATATGAAAGAGAGACCAGAGTTTCTCTCTCTCTCTGCTGTAAGGACACAACAAGAAGGCGGCTGTCTACCAGCCAGGAAGAGAGTCCTCATCAGGAACTGACGCTGCTGGACCTTAATCTTGGACTTTCAGCCTCTAAAACTGTGAGAGAGAAATGTCTGTTGTTTAACCCACTCAGTCTGTGGTGTCTTGTTATGGAGCCCAAGCTGACACATTTCACACTGAGTTCATGATTACGATTGCTACATTGATTGCTACAAATGTAGCAACTGTAATAATGTTCGAACCTGCCTTTATATAAAATAACTTAATATCCAGATCCCACTAACTTATTATTACTATTTTAAAATTATTATTATGATTTTTTTGAGACGGAATCTCTCTCTGTCGCCCAGGCTGGAGTGCAGTAGCACGATCTCGGCTCACTACAGGCTCTGCCTCCCGCGTTCACGCCATTCTCCTGCCTCAGCCTCCCGAGTAGCTGGGACCACAGGCGACTGCCACAACGCCTGGCTAATTTTTTTATATTTTTAGTAGAGGCGGGGTTTCACCGTGTAAGCTAGGATGGTCTGGATCTCCTGACCTCGTGATCTGCCCATCTTGGCCTCCCAAAGTGCTGGGATTACAGGGGTGAGCCACCGCGCCCAGTCCCCACTAACTTATTTTTACTGCTGTCAGCCTTTTTTAAAAAATTGGTTAATTTTGAGATTAGCTTTCATTTTATCTGTGTTTGGTCATTAAAAGTGCCTTTAATTGGTTGTTGAGGGAGTTTTCTAAGTTATTGCTTGTTTGGATCACAGTCAGAAAGTGAAAGCTGAATGGAAGTGGCTCAAATTTTTAAACACCTTGCTCCTTTACCCTTGGGCTGGGGATCTTGTGAGGGCTTTGTCAGCACTTCTCAGATTCAAGATCTTGATTTTCCAGGGAGAGCCCTGGAGTTGCCTCCAAGTTTCTAATGCCCAAGACAAGTTGTCACTTTTATTAGAGAGGTGGAAGTGTATTCCCTTTACATTTAACTCTAAGTCCTTCTTCAAAAGCAAAAAAGTAGATTGGTGAAAAAAGATAAGCCTGCTAATATTTTTCTAGCTTTTAATTTAGAACCCATGGATAGCTTCCAATGTTGAAGGATCTTCTCCTATTCCCATTTTCAATATAGCACGAACAAGGCTAAAAATTATTTCTCTAAACGATTATTTTTTAACCAGTTGACATATGAAATGCCAGAAATCAAAAACAATGTTTCTTCTAAAACACCTGCATTCTTGGTCCACTTCTTTTAGATTTGCTAGAATCCTTTTTTTCTTTTTGAGGGGGGGACAGGGTCTTGCTCTGTCACCTAGGCTGGAGTGCAGTGGTGTGATCACGGCTCATTGCAACCTCCACCTTGTGGGTTCAAGTGATCCTCCCATCTCAGCCTCCCGAGTAGCTGAGACCGTAGGCGCCAGCCGCCACACCTGGCTAATTTCTATATATTTTTGTAGAGATGGGGTGTCTCCATGTTGCCCAGGCTGGTCTCGAATTTCAGATCGCTCAAGCAATCCTCCCACCTTAGCCTTTCAAAGTGCTAGGGTTCCAGGCATGAGCCACCACACCCAGCCTAGATGTGCTAGGCTCTTGATTACAGTGGTGGGTCTTTTTGACCCAAATACTTGCTGTGACAGCTCAGTATATGTAGGTCCTTATTATTCTTCTATGTATTTAGCATATTGTATCAACATGATTAATTTGATTCTACAACTTGCTACACTCATACACTGTGGAGAGAATTTTGCATCCTCAAAAAAGGCCAACTCTGAGTCTGTCCAGAGTCCAGAGCTTTCATGATGGCTCTCAGGTGTTCCTAGGTCTCCACATGGGTTTGCCTTGGGAGCTCCTGGCTCACACCTTGTGATTCTCAGAATCCAGTTTCCATTGGTAATACTGTGCCTGTATTCTCGATGGATCCTGGGCTACCATGGATGGGGCGCTGAATTCTGTTTTGATGGTGAATTCTAGAGATTGCTGCTAAGATGGTAATAGCCTGCACTCTCAGAGTTTGTTAGAGTGAAGAAGTCAACAGTATTTCCAGTGGACAGTGGGTAGGGCAGGGTGGGGACAGCTGGTCTGTAGGTATTTTAAGTACAGTTGACCCTTGGTGAACCTGGATTTGAACTGCACCGGTCCACTAATATGTAGATTTTTTCAATCAAATTTATACTGAGCGTGCCTGCCTCTCCTGCCTCCCTCCCACCTCCTCCACCTCTTTTGCCTCTGCTACTCCTAAGACAGCAAGACCAACGCCCCCTCTTCCTCAGCCCTCTCAACATGAAGACAATGAGGATGAAGATATTTATGACGATCCACTTCCACTTAATGAATAGTAAACACATTTTTCTTTTAATTTTCTTAACAAAATTTTCTTTTCTCTAGCTTCCTAGATTGTAAGACTACAGTATATCATACATATAACAGGCAACACAGGTGTTAATTGACTTCATGTTATTGGTAAGGCTTCTGGTCAACAGTAGGCTATTGGTGGTTACGTTTGGGGACTCAAAAGTTATATGCAGATTTGTCATTGCATAGGAGGTTGGCTCCTCTAACTGCCGAGCTGTTCAAAGGTCAATTGTACTGGCTGACATAGGTTTGGCTTTGTGTCCCCACCCAAAACCTCATCTTGAATTATAATCCTATAATCCCCATGCGTCATGGGAGGGACCCGATGGGAGGTGATTGAATCATGGGGGCGGTTTTCCCCCCATGCTGTTCTCATGATAGTGAGAGTATAGTTCCTTAAGCGGTTTCCCCCATCCCGCTTGGCCCTCATTCTCTCTCCTGCTGCCCTGTGAAGAGGTGCCTTCTGCATGATTGTAAGTTTCCTGAGGTCTCCGCAGCAGAACTGTGAGTCAGTTAAACCTCTTTCCTTTATAAATTACCCAGTATTAGGTATGTCCTTACAGCAGCACAAGAACAGACTGGTACACTGCTCAAGACAATCTGCTGGGCAGGAAACCAACAGTGAGAGAGTCTTGCAGAATCAGCTTTGGTACAGTATGTAGGCTAGGGATTGGACTGAACTGAATGCCTGTATCTCCAGGGTTTCAGCCAAACACGTCTGCAAGGATAAGTATTTCTGCAGAACCTGGCAGAGTGCCTCCCTGAAGTCTCAGCTTCAGCCATCCTCCAGTTCAGGGGTAGGAGGCCGCCAGCTGAATAAGAACTGTCCTTTCTGCTCATCCTCCTTCCTCTCTCGGCTTCTACCCGGTAAGGTCTGAAGCAGAAACTCAGGAGTTAGAGAGGAAAAGAACAAGAACACAGTCAGCGATAGCGGGACAGCACTCTCTCCTCCAGTAGTGAGCAGCTGCCAATCACGAGCTCCGAGCAGAGGGAAGGAAGCCGGAATCCCAGATTTAAAATTAAAATTTATGTGATGAGGCTGGGCATGGTGGCTCACATCTGTAGTCCCAGCACTTTGGGAGGCCGTGGCAAGCAGATCCCTTGAGGTCAGGAGTTCGAGACCAGCCTGGCCAACATGGTGAAACCCCGCCTCTACTAAAAATACAAAAATGTAGCTAAGTGTGGTGGTGTACACCTGTAATCCCAGCTACTCAGGAAGCTGAGGCAGGAGAATCACTTTAACCCAGGAGGTGGAAGTTGCAATGAGCCGAGATCATGCCACTGCACTCCAGCCTGGGTGAGGGAGTGAGACTCTGTCTCAAAAAAAAAAAAAAAAAAAAAATTATGTGATGAATAATATCTTGGACTGGATGGTTTTAATTGTCCCACTGAGACAGTGTTTCATAACGTAAGAGTGATAACAGGTTGTCTTTTATCTAAGAGTAGACCAAAAAGTTGTACATCCTGTCTAAGTTTTCAACCAGAGGCAGGGGAAGATGAACCGGACTGAATATTTCTAATAAGAACTAAGGGAAACAAAAGACTGAGTTTAAAAAAAAAATACAAAAACCAAAAACCTCTATATAACATAAATGCCCATTTTCTCTTGCCTCAGCCTCCTGAGTAGCTGGATTACAGGCATGTGCCACTACTCCTGGCTAATTTTGTATTTTTAGTAGAGACAGGATTTCTCCATGTTGGTCAGGCTGGTCTTGAACTCCCGACCTCAGGTGATTCACTCACGACCTCTCAAAGTGCTGGGATTACAGGTGTGAGTTACCGCACCCGGCCTAAATGCCCATTTTCTTTCTTTTCTTTTTTTTTTCTTCATTGTTTTGGAGACGGGGTCTTGACACATTGCCCAGGCTGACCTCAAACTCCCAACTTCAAACAATCCTCCTGCCTCAACCTCCCAAGTAGCTAGAAGATTGAGTTTTAAGTCATACCATGTGCTTGTTTAATGAACCAACTGCATCTCCAGGTGAGGGTATTCAAGGTCATGGAACTGGTTCCTGGGCCCTTATTTTATAACTGACGCACATGAGGGTTTATCTTACCCTTTTTTTGACATTTAATGCTTATAATATTGGTGCCTCTATTAAAACACAGATGGCGCATATCTCATTTAAACCCAGTTCCATATAATCATTGTTTGCCACGTGCAAGTCGGAATCTGAGAGGAACCGAAAACCGACCAGAAGACCTAATGCTCATGAAGACACCCTTGGCTTCACTTCTTACCTTCACCAGAAGGTCCTTTGCCTCCTTCTCCAGCCACCGTGGGTAAAAGGGATTGTCCATGCGGATGGAGTGGAAGAGCTCCTCCTCGTCCTGCCCGTGGAAAGGCGACTGGCCAATCAGCATCTCGTAAAGGAGGACCCCGAAGGACCACCAGTCCACAGAGTGGTTGTATCGCTGACCCAGCAAGATCTGCGCAGCCAAAAGGCAGACACGAAATTAATAGGAATGAGGCTGAGGAGTGACGACCCTTCCAGAGCGTCCCAAGGCCACTCAGTAAATGGTGGAGGATGGTGTGTGGCTGTAACAAAGATCACCCTGAAAACTATCTCTTCAGAAGCCAATGACTGGATAGCAATGTCTACACAATGCTGACATTTTTGAGTTTGAGTCCGAGCAAACACTTCTCAGTTTCAATTTGTACTTTTCCTCTGGTTATAAAGAAACAATGAAACAATGCCATTCGTTTTTATTTTCCCATCAGTGACATGAGAACTTACGTGGCAGATATTGAACCTAAGAAAGCTGATATGTGTCTAAGTTCTTCACCGGCACTGGTGTAAGCCTCGAAACCAAGCCTTTGTGCTTTGCTGACTTGTACTGTCCTGAGTCTTTACACAAACTCTCTGTAGTAATCAAGCATCCAAAGAGGCCATCTGGACAGTTCCCTTCCTTAAAGCCTGGCTCTCTATGACCGTTCAGTTCAGGAGGCACAACTGTAATCACCGATAGGCAGAATCCAATTGTGTCCTGTGCTGGGAAAGAGAACCGAGGATAGCAAAGTGCTCAAATCTAGGTCAGGTGCAGTGGCTCACCCCTGTAATCCCAGCACTTTGGGAGGCCGAGGCGACTGGATCACCTGAGGTCGGGAGTTCGAGACCAGCCTGGCCAACATGGTGAAACCCCATCTCTACTAAAAATACAAAAATTAACCAGGCGTGGTGGCGGGAGCTTGTAATCCCAGCTACTCGAGAAGCTGAGGCAGGAGAATTGCTTGAACCTGGGAGGCAGAGGTTGCAGTGAGCCAAGATCATGCCACTGCACTACAGCCTCAGCAACAAGAGAGAAACTCCATCTCAAAAACAAAAAAAACCCCAAAGCACTCAAATCTAGAAATGAGAGATCTCTCAGAGCTACCTACAGCTCGATAGCAGGGTCTGAGTCTATCTATTAGGGAGGAGGATTTAAAGTCTGGAAGCCTACCTAATATTTTGAAAGATTTCTATCCTTTCACCAACCCACTCTTCTGGCAAAAAAGGCTTTGTATGTTCATCTTTCAGTGAATTCCTTTTTGGACATTGGGAGGTAGAGGGCACATGCCATTCCGCTCAGTGCCTGACATCCCAACAAACTGTGTCAGAGCTTCTCTGAGATGGTACATGGTAGGATCCATCCATGGATGCAGAAATAAGGAAAATGTGCTGGTGGCTAAATTACCAATGGAAATAAAACCAGTAGGTAGAGGAGACAGTTGCACTCGCTTGCTCATTGCAGCATCATTCACAATAGCCAAGATATGGAATCTAAGGGTCCATCAGTGGATAAATGGATAAAAAAACTGTGCTATATATACACAGGGGAGTATCAGCCCTGAAAAAGGAGAAAATCTCCATTTGCAACAACATGGATGAACCTGGAAAATATTATGTTGAGTGAAGCAAGCCAGGCACAGCAAAACAAATACTGCAAGATCTCATTTGTACGTGAAATGTAAACACATTGAATTTATAGAAGCTGAGGGGGCAGTTGGGCAGTTTCCAGGGTCGGGCGGAGGGTGGGGAGGAGGGATAGGGAAGGCATTGAAAAAAAATGTGGTACATCCGCACAGTGGAATATTATTCAGCCTTAAAGGCGAAGGAAAACCTGTCACGTGCTATGTGCGTGAGCCCTGATAACACTATGCGAAGTGAAATAAGCCAGGCAGGGAAAGACAACTACTGAGTGATTCCATTTCTATAAGGTACCTAAAGTATTAATTGAGGTTTTTGCCCTGACTTTCAGTGACAAAAACCATAATTACTTCTGCACCAACCTAATAAATTCTAGAGACAGGAAGTGGAATGGTGGCTGCCAGCCGCTGTGGGGAGGGGGAATGGGGGGCTAGTGTTTAATGGGGACAGAGGTTTGATTTTTCAAGATGAAAACCTTCTGGAGACTGATTGCACAACTATACAATACACTTAATTTTATTTATTTATTTATTTTTGAGATGGAGTCTTGCTCTGTCACCCAGGCTGGAGTGCAGTGGCACAATCTTGGCTCACTGCAACCTCTGCCTCCTGAGTTCAAGCGATTCTCCTGCCTCGGCCTCCTGAGTAGCTGGGATTACAGGTACATGCCACCATGCCTGGCTAATTTTTGTCTTTTTGGTAGAGATGGGGTTCCATCTTGTTGATCAGGCTGGTCTCGAACTCCTGACCTCAAGTGATCCACCCACCTTGGCCTCCAAAGTGCTGGGATGAATCGCGCCTGGCACTGTTTTTAACATTACTGAACTGTACGCAAAAATAGTTCAGATGGTAAATTTCATATTATGTGCATTTTCCCACAATTAAAAACAAAACACTAGGACATAGTAGTGGCACATAAAATTTTTTTAATGGAAAAGAGGGAAAAAAATCTTTGCCAATTCATGACTGCTGCTCCAAGGATGAGTTGCAGGCAAGTTGCTTTTGGCCAAAACAAAATGGAGAAGGAATAATAGGATTGAGGCACTAAACTCAAAAGCAAGACAGTCGGACTCTTTTGGGGATGAACATCTGTTCTACCTTGTAATGTGTTCAGGCTTAGCTGGATGCATCTGTGAATACACACACGTAAATACACACACACACACGCACCCGCAGAAGGTATTTTGTTGTTGGCGCTACTCCTATCAAATGGAATTTTTCTCTTCCTTCTTTAATGGGCCTTTGGAATGAGTGGCAGAATTGTAGCACTGATGGCCTCGGAAAGAAAATGACACTGCAATTCCAGCCATTCTCCCAGCACGTTGGGAGGCTGAGGCGGGTGGATCACCTGAGGTCAGGAGTTTGAGACCAGCCTGGCTAACATGGCGAAACCCCGTCTCTACTAAAAACACAGAAATTAGCTGGGTGTGGTGGCACATGCCTGTAATCCCAGCTACTCAGCTCAGGAGGCTGAGGCGGGAGAATCACTTGAACCCAGAAGGTGGAGGCTGTAGTGAGCCGAGATCATGCTTCCACACTCCAGCCTAGGTGATAGAGCAAGACTCTGTCTCAAAAAAAAAAACAAAAAACAAAAAAACCCAGACATTCCAGTATTTTCTAGGAAAGCCGCATTATTTGATGTTGGTGAGCTTTTTTAGATGGAACAGATTGATGTGCATGGCAAGCCCATCTCTAACTCTCCGCCCCCCCCGGCCCCCTCCTGGGAGACACATCAGTGCTAAGTGAGGTCCAGGGGTGCTGTGCAGTGTCTCTAAGGCAGACTTGCTAAACAAACAGAAGAACGATATCAACAGCAGCACAACAGTTTTGCTGACCATATAAAATGTCATGGGCTCTACTTTTGGCTTAATCCCTTCTTGCATAGTTTCGGGAGGACCCTTTAACCCACTCACTTCACAAATGAGAAATTTGTGAGAAACAGGAATCATATCTGGCCCGCTTTTTACAAGCTTCTTGTGAGGATCCAATGAAAAGTTGCAAAGTCAAGATGATTCGTCTTATGGGATGACTATAAATGCTATGATAAATATCTGTTTTGATGATGTGCTTGTCCCCATTTCTGAAAATAAAGATCAAGTTGCAAACAGAATTTTGTAATCCGTTACTAATTTCCAATATAAAAATGCTACCCGCTACTCTTACCTCAATATTTACATGCTAAAGTTTACTTTATAATTTAGAAAAAATAGACTTTGCCTTAAGGAATCATCTGAAAGTAGATCCAAGGAGAATTATAAAGAAATTTAAGATGCACCCAACACAGTCTGCTCAATTTGCTGGGCCAGGGAAACATGCAATTTCTGAGACTTGCCACAAGGCGGCGTCAAAGCAAACAGAAACCACATATCTTTGTAAACAACTTCATTTTGGCAGGACAAACAAAAAGAAAATTTGGAAGGACAGGAGACAGCTGTGGTGCAAATTAAGCCTTCAAAGCCTGGCACTGTTAGTAAAAAAATTCCGTTTTACCTTAGGAGGAAGAAGCAAAATGCAAACTCACACACGCCACAGAGTGTTCACCTCAGGAATACTGACACGTTAGGAGTTTTGCAGACATTATGTCTTTTATCGATAAGAACCCCCCGAGCTAGGCACAGTTATCCCTCTTCTGTAGGGGATGATGACTGGGCTTAGAAAGGCCAAAGGTCTTATTTAAAGTCTCCTAGTTAGTGAGCTAAGAGCGACGTTCTGAATCTGGTCTTTTAGGATTTTACTACGTGATGTTCCTTCCATATCATAATGTGCTCTTGGTGTTAAACCTCAAGTTGTCATGCTCACACCATGCTCAATTTCTTATTTTATTTTATTTTATATTTTTTAGACAGAGTCTCTCTTTGTTGGCCAGGCTGGAGTGCAGTGGTGCGATCTCAGCTCACTGCAACCTCTACCTCCCGGGTTCATGTGATTCTCCTACTTCAGCCTCCTGGGGAGCTGGAATTACAGGTGCGTGCCACCACATCCAGCTAATTTTTGTATTTTTAGTACAGACAGGGTTTCACCATTTTGGACAGGCTGGTCTCAAACTCCTGATCTCAGGTGATCCGCCTGCCTTGACCTCCCAAAGTGCTGGGATTACAGGCATGAGCCACTGTGCCCGGCCCATGCTCGATTTTTAAAGAGACTGTGGTGGAGAAACACCAGCAAGGGTGGCCCCTTTCTCTGTCAGCCCTGGGACCTCGCCTCATTGTGATCTCTTCTTCTGTTCTTTTTCCTCCCTCGCTTTGACCCAAAGAATCAGAGGCACAGCTCAAAATGCACAATGAAACCTGAGAAAGCACCAAGAGAGGAGCAGTGGTTTTACCAGACGCCGGAGCAAGCCACATCTGTTCTCCTGCAGCCTCAGGAGCTGGGACGTCGGGTCTGGACAGATGGGGCTCTGCCACCACGATGTGCAACTGGGCGAGTGCTGCCCCTGCACTCAGCAACCTCCCCGGGCCAATACCAGTGTGGTTTCCAGGGAACTCCGACTTTCTCCAGGGAGCTGCTTCCATGCATTGCAAT